ACCTGGGCAGACGTGGTCCCACAGCCACCCTTCACCGAGTGCTCTCTTGTCCCCTCAGGGCCTGCCCATCTCCATGTACGGCGGCACCCTGATCCCCTCGCACCCCCAGCTGGCAGATGGCCCAGGAGGGCCCCTCTTTAACGGGCTCCATACTCCAGATCCCGCCTGGAATCCCATGATCAAAGTTGTCCAGAACTCAACAGAATGTACTGATGCTCAGCAGGTAGTGTGGCTGCCTTTTCCCACCTGTGCTTACCCAGGGCTTTATGCAGTGGTGTGATATCCATTTTTGGATTGGTGACATGTTTGGGTTTTTTTCAGTTCTTTGAAACTAGATTTGAGATTGTTTGCATGACTTTTCCCTACTCCGTGTGTGTGTGTGTGTGTGTTCATAAAATATCTATGGAGCTGTCAGTACCAAACCTTACAGGTAAAACAAGCAGCATTTCAAGACTGCTCAGCCAGGTAATGGACTGTTACACGTGAGAGGGTTTATATCTGTGCTCAGCACCTTGCAGGTTGTCAGTCACACCTTGGCTGGAGCTGGAGAGCTCCTGCTTTTGGACAGTCTGGTTGTATTTTGGGGGAAGCCTTACGCTCGCCCTCAGTGGTTAAACACTGTTAAAGGAACCTTTATTTGTTTTCATAATAGATTTGTCTTTTTATTTCTTGCTGTAGATTTGGCCTGGCACCTGGGCACCTCACATTGGAAACATGCATCTCAAGTACGTCAACTGATTTAAGGGGGTCTGTCCTTTTTTAGCCTGGTTTGGGAATCTTTATGACCTTGAAGAACCCTGGGGTTTTTTTTTCATGTGCCTAAGTGATTTTCTGTGGGCTGTAACAATGGAAACTTGATTGCCCGTTGTATAACAACAAATTGACTTTACCTATATAAACTGATTCTGCTCTCCAATTAGTTTAGCCACTTTAAACTTCAAAAATCAGACAAAACTAGCGCTTTTGGCTAAACACTACTGAACGCTCCTTGTACGCAGCAGAGAACGAGCTGATGACATGAGTTCAGCCTTTTAGGGTGGTAAATACCTGTCCAATTGTTTACAGACTTCAAAGGAAAAGCTGAGTGAATTTCATGTCGTATAGTGGCTCTACTTTATGTAGCCTGTATTAATGTGAAATATTTACCTGAATACTCAATAAAAGGCAAACAGCATTCGTAGGTTGTGTGTGAGAATTTTGGAAAGGGCTGGATGTTGCTGTCCTCGGTAGTTGCTCCCGTGCCTGGTGACACATCCCAGGGCCACATTCCAAGCACCTGGGTGCAGTCAGGATTTGGGTTTGGAGCCGCAGGTGTCTGTGATTGATGTCTGCAGAGCCCTTCCCCCTGCCAGTTGTGAGCCTGTTATTGGTGTGAACCTGCTTCTGTGTTACCTTTTTGTCCTGGATTAGTTCTGCTGCTTCGAGCGCTCCTTTTGCAGGTGGGTCGCCCGAGAGATGAGGTTTTGCTCAGGGCTGCAAGGGCTGACAGCAGTGGTAGGTAAATGCAGCGTTCCTTCACCAGCTGCCCAGAAGCAGATCTTGGGAACTAAGGGCTTCCCACTGGAGGAAAACCTAATAGATTCAATTACAAGCTTCTTGTAACACTCTAAATCTGGTAAGAGCTCCTCGAGTCTTTTCTGTGAAGAAGAGGAGGATTTTTGCACTCTGCTTAAGATGAACATTAATTCCTGACCCAGTTCCCCACTTTCTGCACTTGGACTGTGCCTATTTCTGCTTTTGCTCCAAGGCAATGCAGTAAGCACACGGAATGTTGGGTCCATTCCTTAAGCAGGGAACTACAGTGCACATAGTATCCATCTAAAGGACCACCCTCAGTGGTCTCAGACTAGGTGGAGACCTTCCTCCACCTTATCCAGACAAATCCTTATATGCAGCAGCAGAATTTCCCCAGGAAAAGCATGAGGAAGTACTTGAAAATCACAGTGCACAAGCAGTGTCTGAGTACCGCAGGCAGATCAACCTCGGAAGCACTACTGGATGGTATATTCAGATATTTTTCCTGGTATTTGAGAAAGAATGCAAAATAAATTGGAACTGCTGCTGCCCCACTGACAGTGCAGACACCAAAGGAGAAACACATAGAATCAGTCAGAGAAGGGTTTGGGTTCAAAGGGACCTTTAAGATCACCCAGTCCAACCCACTGCCACGTGTCTTAACAGCAGTTGTATTGAAAACCGGTGGTGTTGTGGTGCAGTAGATGTGTGCTCTCAGGGTTGAGGTGCAGGAGAGGGGTGGGGTGCTGACTTTTGTGGGCTCCCTGGCTGCAGCAAAGCACTGCCATGTCCTCCTGCCTCATCCCAGGGAGCCCTTGTCTCCCCAGCCCAGAGGGCTACAGCTCCAGCTACACAGTCTCCTCCATTGCAGTGCAGAGCAAGACCCAGCATGGGGCTGGGGCTGTCCCTGGAATGCCCTGGGCCACCCCAGCCCTGCCTCATGTGGGCAGCTCTTTCTCTTGCTGGGCTCTCCCTGTGCAGCTCTGTCCTTGGGGACACGGGTACCTGCTCTGGACACCAGACCCAGGCAGGCCCATGGGGTGGTGACAGCCCAGAGCTGAGGTGGAAAAGGGAACCCCGGAGCTTTGTAGGAAGATCCTGCTCAGTTTGGGCCATCGTTGCCCCGTGGTGCAGGGGGGCACAGGGAGGGGCTGGGGAGTGGGCTGGTGGCAGTGCCACTGGGCTGGTGGGTGCAGCGCTGGTCCCTCGGGGCTGGCTGGCTCAGGGGGAGGCACGGGGCTAACATAAGAACCTGCTCCCACCTGAGTTCAGCAGCCCTGGGTGACAGAGCTCCCCCTTCCCCTCCTGCCCCCTTCTGATGCCCCAGCAACGCCCCTGGGTCAGCTGTTGAGCAGGTTCTCTTTGCTGTCTGTCCTCAGGGAAGTGTGTGAGCTGGGTATGTTTTGGGTTGAGCCACAGGCGCCCATCCTTTGGGCCCTGACTCCATCATGTGCCTTTGGTTAAGCTGCTCTGGTGTGGAGGAGCCCAGCCCAGTGCTGTGGGGCTGTGGCAGGCATGGCCTGTGTAACGTGTTTGTGGTGCCAAGCAGGAGCTCTGGGTTCCCTGGCACCTCAGACAGGAGCTCCAGGCTCCCTGGCACCCTGGGCTGCACCTGCTGCCAGAGCCTGGCAAGGAGCTGGTGCTCAGCTGCAGGGATGACCGGGCAGGGCAGCAGATGTGGCACATGGGCTGATGTGACCTCGGGCATTGGTGGCAGGCAGTTGGGGCATGGGGGGGAGGCAGTGTGTGCCCCAGGTGGGCACTGCACACCTGGCAGGCTGGAGGAGGAGGTGTCCCATCAAACCCAGCTGCTGCCCTTGTGCAGGAGGCAGCAGGTGGCTGGATGAGCTGATGGAAGGGTCCCCAGGGTGCCCCTGTGGGACACCCAGCCTTTCCTGCTCGGCCCTGGGCAGGGACCTGCAGCTGCCGTGCCACCAGGCTTGCCTGAGCTGTGTGCCCTGGGCTGGCCCTGCCCTCCAGGGATGGCTAGACCTGTGGAGGCTGGACCCCCTGTGCTGAGCCCTGCAGAGCTCCAGGAGCCTCAAGGGCAGGAACAATGTGGGGAAGAGCTGCTGGGCAGGACGGGTGTCACGGGCTGCCCTGTGGGAAGCACCGTGGTGGCTCCAGAGCCAGATGTGTCCCCGAGCCATGGCCGAGCGCTGGGTCCCACCCCCTGCTCTGGGCTGTGGTGCTCAGGGCGGGGGGTGGCCGGGCCCAGCAGTGCCTGACAGCCCCTGCTTTTGGCAGGTACCCCCATCATCTGCGACCGCAAGTTCCTGCTGGAGTGCAAGAATTCACCCGCGGCCAGGACCCCTCCCTGCTGCCTGCCCCAGACCCCCGGTGTCACATCCCTGGCCCAGTCCAGCCTCGTCAAGCTGGAGGAGCTCAAGGAGCGGAATGAGAGCCAAGAGGCCATGCCAGGTGAGCAGCCCAGGCCTGTGGCCCCCACCCATGGACCACCTGACTGGGGCACAGGGCTCCTGCCTGGCCACAGGGGCAAGGGGAGAGCCCGGCCCAGCCCCAGTTCCAGCTCCTGACCCCTTTGCCTGCCTATGTCTCCCAAGGCAGCCCCATCCTAACCCTGTATCCATGCCCTTTGCAGATCAAGACCAGTTTGAGATGGACATCTGAGTTTCCAGCTCCCCGTCTCCAGGCCATGGCTGGGCCTGTTCCTGGGCCTCGTGGAGGTGCTGGCACCGTGACCAGCTGGCTGCAGCCCTCTCTGATGCTGGGGATGGACGTGTGACACCTCAGGCTCTAGCACAAGTGGCTGGTGCAATTGCCTAGGAGCTCATGCTTGATCAATAAACACCGTGAAACCCCTGTGCTGACCTGGTGTGTGTCTGTCGGGGCTCAGCGGGGTTCTCACACCCCCGGGGAGGGGGCTGAGCAGCACCAGCAGGGTGCAGGGGGTGACACTGCAGGTGGGGGTTGGTGAAGGCCTGGGTGGTTCCCAGCTGTGGTGGGGGGCAGCTGGTGAGTGCCAGTGGGGTGGGAACAGCACAGTCAACACCTAACTGTGGGCACATGTTTGTCCCTGGACCTGCCTGTCCCTGGATCCCAAACTCGAGTCTGAACTGTGCCAGGAGGGCAGGAGCCCAGATGGGAGCAGAAGCTGTGGCTGCAGCACGAACCTTGGCCATGCCGAGCTGCTGGGGACTGCTGGCACATTGGCCTCCACGGCCAGCCTGGACCCCTCCTGCAGCAGAGCTGGGGCTGCTGTAGGCACCCCACAGCCAAATGGGAGGCCAGAAGGGCCAGGCTTTGCCAGTGCAGCAGGAACACACAGCACTGCCTGCTCCAGCCAGGTGCTTCTGGTTTCTTCCCTTCACATCCTGCTGGCTGGGAGCACCCTGCCAAGGCCAGAGCCCCTTGGCCAAGCCTGACATAGCAGGCTTTGTGGCCTCACCCAGCAATCCTGTCTCCCACTGCCCCTGGGAGCCCCAGGACCTGCCAGTGCCAGAACCCTCGGGCAGACTGTGGCTGGGGGCAGGTTGGTGTTGTTTATTAAACATAATGAATCGCCACTAAAATGTCGCAATGATTAAAATCCCCTTTTCCTGGATGAGGATTGGGAAGCAGAGGGGGTGCCCCGACTCCCTCTGGCAGCGGGGTCCCTGCTCCTGCCGGTGGCCCCGGGCAGGGGCTGCCCCGCTCACAGTCCGCAGCCCCGCCCCCGGTGTCAGGGCTCCTCCTGGCCCGGCTCGGTCTCGGTCTTGGGCTCGGTCTCGGTCTCAGCGCTGCCGTCCGTTGCGTCGGGCAGGTTCCGTGTCTCGGCGATGAGGCGCTTGACGCCCACCATCCACTGGCTCACCTCGTTCACGTGGTCCACCATGAGCGAGCGGTGGATCTCGTCAGCCGCGTCCCAGTGCTGCTGCTGGAGCTCTGCCAGGTCAAGGGAACCCGTCAGGGGGTGCAGGATCCACCTTCCCACGGGTGCCCATGACCCAGGGCCCGCTGCTGGCCCGGCTGCAGCCCGCTCGCCCCGTACCTTGCACCAGGAGGCTCATCCTCTTCCTCACCGGTGCCGACAGCTTCCCCTGAGCCCACGCGTCCTCCAGCACTGTCAGCCGCCGCCCGATGTCATTGCACACTTGTTTCTGGAAGCAGAGGTGAGCTGGGAGAGGGGGGAACCGCCCCCACCAGCTCTGGGCAGCGCCCGGGGCAGGGGCGGCTCTCCCCCCTCTCGGGGAGCCGGGGACCGGCAGCTCCTGCACCGCGGGGTCCGAGGCGGCGGGAGGGGCCCGGGCTCACCTGCACCGAGGGCCGGCAGGAGTCCAGGGCCGCCCGCAGCGGGGCGAGCACGGTGTCGGCGGACACGCTGCACTCCCGCTCCTCCGGGCACGGCCGCGCCTCGGCCCGCGGGGCAGCGCCCACGGGCCCCAGCGGGGGCGGCCCCAGCGCCCGGGGGGGCGGCGCGGAGGGGTCTGCGGGGGCACTGCCCGGGGCCGGGGGGGCACCTGCGGGGCAGAGGCGGCGGCGCGGGGCCCGTCAGCCCGGGCCAGGGCCCCGCACACCGGGTCCGAGCGGGGAGCGGCCCCCGGGGCTCCGGGCGGGGCCGAGGGGCGGGCGGGGGCTCGGGCGGTGCTGACCTGGGGATGCGCCCTCGGGCGGGGGGGGGGCCCGGCGGGTGAGCGGCGTCCGGCGGGAGCCCCCGGCCTGCGCCTGCAGCCCGTACGAGAACTGGGGGGGGTCGTTCCAGCCGCGCTCCTGGTTCCCTGCGGCGGCGAAGGAGCGCGGTGAGATCGCGGAGAGGGGACACC